ATTCAGCTTGGGAAGGAGCAGGCCGAGCAGGGAGAGGACAGGGGTCTATAACATTATGCAGGCTGTGGACCAAGCAAGCAGGGAGCTGTTGTTCCCTCGGTCCCAGACACTAGAACCAGGGGCACCGGCTGCAGGGAGCAGGTGATGGGTTTAATGAACCAGGGAAAGAACCACTAAGGTGTGGGATTTGTTGTCCCAGGAGGAAGTGGAGGCTGAGAGCAGAGCCAGGGTCAGTAAGGGGCTGGATATGTTCATGGAGGATTCATGGGTGTTGAACAGACGGGGTGGAAATGTTTCCTCAGGCACCTCCAACCCAATGATGGTGGAGGCCAGGGAGGGTGCTGGATAGGGGACAGAGCACTCTAGAGAGATCCGGGTTAGTGTTCATCCTCTATACAGCATCGACCACGCCAGTGTTGGAGACGACACACCAGGCTGGATGGACCATAGGTCTGACCCAGTCTAGCATTGGGAATTTTACCCCATGATCAGGCTGGTAAGGACTGAGTTGGGGGTGGGGAGGGAGAGGAGGGGTTGCCTTCCTTTGTAGCAGGGGGTCATAGCCCTCTCCCTGGGATCTCTTGAGTGTGTATTAACAGCCTTGTATAGAAGCAGGATGTTGGCTGCTGTGGTCCCCCTGCTTTCCCTGCAGCAGGGTCGGGTGTGATGTCTGGTCTTGTCAGGATTGATGGTAATTTTATGAAAAGTTTAGATGATGGGTTTGTCTGGGATGGTTTGGACAGGCCTGATCCTGCCTTGGGCAAGGGGTTGGATGAGACGTTCCCTCCGGAAGTCCCTGCCAGCCCCACGTCTCTAGGATTCTATGATCTACCTGCTGCCACGAGGGATGCCATGAGGGGAAGGGGCCAAGGAAGCACCGAACACAGACCCAGAGAACAAGGCTCAGGGCACGTACCGTTTTGGAGAGCTCGCTACCAGACTCCATGATGCGCAGGCACAGCGGGATAATCTCTGTCGTCAGGAGGAAGTTGATGACTTCCTGCTCGTCTGTCTTCACCAGGGCTCCTGGGAGAGGTGGGGAGGAACCATGGATAGGACTTTTGAGACAATCCTGGTTTTTAGAGCACACCGAGCATTGCTCCCAGGCTCTCACATGCAGAAGCACCTCCGAGTACCAGCAGGACACCCAAAGGCCTGAATGGGTCCTCCACCGTGGGGAGAGGAATCAGCAGTCAGCCTTCCCCAGAGGTGAATATTGAGGGGGCTGAACCCCTGGATTTCCAAGCAGGCACTTTTAGAAAGCTGTCCACCCCACCCAGGACCAAGAACCAACACCTCAGACAGGCCCACAGCTTTTGGGAAGCCCTTTCCAAGCACATGCTATGGTCATGAGAGCAGAGGGGGGTGTGCTGTACTGTACCACCCAGCGACCCGAGGCCACCCCCTCCCCGGGCCAGGTTAGAGAGCTCCTTGGCAGAGAGATCGTCATCCAGGGGGAAATGCGTCCAGGGCAGGACAGCATAGGGGGAAACCCTGGTTTGCACCCTCCAGACACTGGTCTTGGCTGGCTGAGGACTGAACAGAGGTTGCTGACAGGACCCACCCCCACAGCCCCTCTGTTGGGGCAGACCCTTCTCCCCCTGGGTGAAGAAGGGGTTTGTGGCCATTTCTCCTGCCTGCACCTCCCAGCAAACCCTCTCTGGCATGGGCTGATGGGACATAAGCTAGAGCATGCACTTGGGCATCAAACCCCTCTGCCCACAGAAGCCATGGTCGCAGGGCTCCTGGGGGCTTTTCATCCCTAGCACGTAGCATTTAGAGACACTTTCATTCTACAAGGAATGAAGCCGGCAAGCTCGGTGCAGTGGAAAGTGACAGCCTCCAGCAGCGGTAACACCAATATCACATTGGGAAGGACAGTGACAGGGACACGGATGGTTTGCACTAGTATAAGGGGCTGCAGAAAAGCAGTTAGGGAACAAGCGGGTGCTTACCGATGACGCCGAGGCTGGTGAGCCTCAGGTACTCGAAGGGCCGGGTCTTGCTGACGGTGTGCAGGAAGGGGTAGAGGAAGAGGGGGATGTGGGCCGCCAGGAAGGCCGACCTGCAAGAGAGGACACGATCCTTGAGAGCCCTGGGGGGAGATGAGAACACGTGACACGGGCAAAGAACGTGTTCTCCTGCCTGGGTCTGCACAGACGCCAACACAAGCGCTCCTCACCGGAGACAGTGACAGGGAGGGAGGCGAAGCAACTGGTTGCAGGCCACGTGCCAGGCCAGGGCAGGCGATCACCTGCCATTACAGCTTCTGGCTGGGCAGGACTGACCCTCAACGTCCTGCCGCCCCCCTGCCCATGGTCTGTCCCTGCTCGCGTCTAGACAGCAGGCTCTCTATGGCACAGACTACCAGCCACTAGCTGCATGCATGGCCCCAAGCCCAGTAGAGAACACAACAGCATCTGTGTATCTAAAACCAACACCGCCAGCTCCAAGCCCTCCTGAGAGCGGACAACAAGGAAGGGAGACTGCAGGGAGCCAGGGTGAAGGTTACTCCATTACTGCGCTCACAGAGGAAGCTAAAGGGCGCTCACCCTGTGTGGGCTCAGCTAAAAGCCTCCCCCAGCAGAGATCTCTCTGGAATTGTGATGATACAGAAACCCAGCACCAGGCTCTTTCCTTGGGCACTAACATGGGGGGCTGTTGAATAGCATGTGGCAGGGGCTATGAAGCACCTCTTGTTCCCTGATCACTCCAGCAGGCTGCTTCAGAGATGCTGGAAACACAAGGTGACCAGGCCATTGGGCTGATTTTGCCAGCGCCTGACGGTGTCTTCTGACACTTCACTCTCACATCAGGAACCTCTCCCAGGCGGCATGCACAGGTGCTCCGAGATCATGAGTGAAAGCAGCATCGAGCTGTCGATCACCCACCCTTGGCCGTCACCCCATGCGCCCCTTACCTGGTCTCCGGGTGCGAGGCGACGCACTGCAGCAGCGCCAGGGCATTGCAGACTCGGTTGGACTGATGAGCCGTCAGGGTTGGCGGGTTTATGGACGGGTAAATATTTACAATTTCCTGGAAGAAATTAAAGCAACAGTAAGGGTCAAGGCTCGAACAAGGAAGCCAAGTGCCTGCGAGGAGCTGGGTGAGAGCTGCCGCCTCCTGTGACCAATTCAAGAGCAGTCTGAAAGGAAGTGGAGCCCTGAAGGCAGCCAACGCTGCCGAGGGGAGGTCTGCACTGCGCAGCTGGCCGGGATGGCAAAGGGATGCAGCTAATCTGCAAGAAATTCTTCTGATGACAGCTGCACTGGACTGCTCCAGAGGCGGCAACAAAGATGATCAAGGGCTTGGAAGACAAGTCACGTGAGGAGAGGCTGAAGGAGCTGGGCCTGTTCCAGTTGCAGAAAAAGAGCTTGAGAGGACAATTGGGCCAAAAGAAATCTCATGAGGTTCAACAAGTGCAAAGTCCGGCACTTAGGAGGGAGCAATCCCATACACTGGTGCAGGATGGGGGTAGCTGGCTGGGCAGCAGCTCTGCAGAAAAGGACCTGGGGTGACAGGGGACAAGAAGCTGAACAGGAGCCAGCAGTGGGCCCTTGTGCCAAGAAGGCTAACGTTGTCCCGGGCTGCATTCGTAGAAGCATCGCCAGCAGATCGAGGGAGGTGATGCTTCCCCTCTACTCAGCACTGGGGAAGCCACATCTGGAGTGCTGTGTCCAGCTGCGGGCCCCCACTACAGAAGGGATGTGGACACATTGGA